AGAACGTTTGCCATTTTTCGGAAGTAGTGAGATTTTGATTTAGTTTAACCCACTCAAATTTGAAAACATGATTCAGTTAATCGAGTTTTTTAAGTTTTTCGAGACGAGCTCATGAAGTAATCAAAATAAAATACAGCAATCATTATGATTAAAATAAGGAAAGGGAAAATAGAAGAGAAAATAATACTAGACGATAAAACAAGAAAACAAACAAGTTCGAGTTCTCTGTGCATGTTAAGCTGCTAGTTATTGTCTTCTCTCCTCCCCATCTTCACACTCTCAACATCAGGTTACCGTAGTGCATTCACTGAAATAATGCATTGCTTAATAAAGTGGGTAGAAATAATTACACTATTCTTCGATGTAATAATTTAGTCTTGTTCCTTTCAAACTGGTTTGGGATGTAGTTGCAGCTGTGTGTTTTTATAGACTGATTAGTAATACACGAATATTTTATACTGTCTATTAATTTGGAAATAGATGAAGCATACTTGTAGTTGTATCTGTATTTGTGATTTGTTCGATTGGTTGTTTAACTGTTAGGTGTAATGTTTGTGTATGTTGGCGTAAGTTCTCAGCATCTCTTGTTCCGAAACCACATTCTTCACATACATATAGCTTGTCTCTGCGCTCTTTGAATGCATAGTGTAATGGACGACCATGAACTTTACGACTGTGGGCTTCTAAAGAACAACGCTGAGTAAAAGCTTTTGTACAATCTGCACACCTATAGGGTCGAACACCTAGAACAGAAAGTATCAGAAAGAAAATGTATTTAAAATATTAATAAATAATTTTAGTATGTTTAGAATTTTTATACTTCTTCAGTTGCTTGCTTATTCTCGGTTTAGATAAATCAATGTTCAACAGTTAATTTACCAAATAATGTTATCATGAACCTATCCAATGACATGGTTTTGTTGTATTACATTTTGCAACAAATTTGTAAGGATATTTTTTGGATGGTATTTCCTATAGATTTTTCCAAATTATTTCTAATATGATAATAATTTTTTCTGAAGTTATTGCATGTTATCGAATTCAAGCATCGGTAGAATGTACTCAGAAACATCCCGTTGTTTCGTCAGGCTCTATTAAACTTAATGTTGTAAAATAGGTTCAAAAATTAACGAGAGCATGAGTTTGCTAAACCTTGCATATATTCCATGCTTATGGATGGAACTGAACTTTAATTAATTGAATTCTTAGGACTGATGCGGAAATATAATGCGTCTTAGTGTTGTGTCACTTGGCTTTGAGACTACACTACAAACATGATTAACAGACATCAGTCGGCGCTGAAGAAATGACAACTCTGTGTATCCGTTACCATCCTGCGAAATACTTGAGGATATTATTTTGAGCAAATCTGTCTTGCAACAAACCCAGGCATTAGAAAATAAATGAAATACCCCTGGTACCCGAGTTTTTCTTTTTGGCTGGTAACACAAATGCTCATCAAATATTGTTAAGAAAGAGAAAGCTAAACAGGAATAAGTTTTCCCATTATGCAAACACTTATAACGAATATTTAATGTAAGAGTATTACTTGGGTGCTATAGCAGAATATAGTTCTAGTCTGAATAAGTCATTTGGCTTTGTATTACACATTATGATGCAGCATTACTTACTGGATGACGTTCTGAGCACACTTTGTTGCTCATACTCATATCAAAGTGATCACAAAGCTATCCGCTTTGGCTTGTACACCTTTATCATCTTTCTTCATCTGTTTTAATAGTAGTAGAATTTCGAATATATGCGGAATCGGTGTAGAAACCTTTCTATGTCAGATGCTTGGGTATCAAGGTACTTGTAACTAGTAAAACCATTAGAATGTTCAGTATTATTAGGGTTCACAAACCACGTTATTCACTTAGACTTGTAGCTGACTTTAGAAAAACCTCCTAACAAGTGTTGTTTAAACACCTAATGTTGCTATTACATCCTAATTCATGCATAAAACTGGAGTCCCATCTTAGAAATCGCATTGGATGTTCATTAGTTATAAAGTTTACAGTTTTCAAGGTTCTGTATGAAATATATTTTTTTACGAATAGGGTTAGTGACTTTGGGATCCCCAATATCTTAAACAATAGTGTGGTGAGCACTACTTAAAAATATGTATGTCAGCAGTATGAAGTACAATATTGGGAAGTACAAAAAGTGATACAGATAGATTGGTGATGATTTGGTAGGAAAGGAGATTTAGTATTAAGTAGAAGTATGGAAGGCAAAGACACTTCACACTGGTATCCTGAATGAGGCTAATGTTTGCAAATGTGATTTATTGTAAGGGTTAACAACTTCATCATTACCGATCCTAATTTTTTGATGAACAATCTCTGTTGTTCTGTTGGACTTTTCTTCAATAGCAGATATATTTGTGGACATTTTGGACCGTATGGTTCTTTAAGCCTTTAGTCCTGCTCCTAAGTTTAACTCTCAACATATTCATATTTCTTTACACTTTGTATATAATGGATTCATTTTACTTTCAAGTTGGAAAATGAATAACGAGTCCTCGCCATACCTGGCTACAAAATGAAACGAGGATATGAAAACAATCAATTGTCTTTGAAACGTCATCCAACAAGTAGTACTGCAGCCTTTGTTGTTTATTGATACTTGTAATTTCCCCTTGCCGTAATTGACTGAATTGCGCCACCTCTGTTAGCAGGTGGGCTCCCATGGGAACACCTTGGTACTGACTGAATATTGACTGTGTTACAGCCCAATCGATGGTTAGTGGTGGAATCCGGAATGGGCGTTTCGTCCCATTCGGGACTCACCAGCTGGAAATACCTGCACCACAGTGAGTGATGCTAGTCCCGCTGAAACTTGAATCCAGTACCCATCACTTCAAGAGCCGAAGCGGTATCCATTGGGCCACTGTGGCACCAGGTCCATATCGTGTGCAACGAGTATCGGTTGTTATTTACTGATACTTTTGATACTTGTAATACTGCATCCTTTCTATGTTAGATCAGTCTATTTGACATAGCATGCAGTGACATGGTATTTTTCCTGTTTGAAAAATGGCGCACCAGAATTTATTACTAACCACACCTAAAAACTAGTGATTCAGTATGCTATGGTGGAAAATATTTATCTTCATGCACTTTAGAAAACAAAACGCCACTGTATGTGTGGGTGGGATAGTTACAGAAAAATAACAATGAACTAAATATCTGTTTATGACAATCTAATGGTAGTATTACTTTTGTTATAAGGATAATAACTTCACTATTGACAAAAGTATGAAGATAAGAATGAAGAATGTGATAGTAATAATAATAAACAAAATAATGATCGTTTAGTGGGCAGAAATAATACCATTATTAATTACCATTGGTAATCGAAGACAGTGCAGCGCAGCTACGTGTCAGCATTTATCTTAAGGAGACAACTTCAGAATGATTTTCAAGGCTTTACATTTTCCAACACTTCTCTCTAATATTGACTAGGGTAAGTAAAATGAAGAAAGGAAACTGAGTTTCATCTGATCTTTGCTTTTGTCTTTTAAAAACTTAATTTAGTATATACTTTAAACCTGTTTCCAAAGTGAATTCACTTTGCTCATGCAAGTGTTACTTTCAGCTTTCGGACAAGACAATTGGTCTTCAAAAATAGCTATACGTTTTTGTTTATAGCATGAGGGATAATTGTAAAGGAATTGTAGCTTATCTTGCTAATAGCTTTGGGCGTTTTTGTTTGTGGTAGGAGAGAGGTCAGTCTATTCACCCCCAGCTGCTTGTAACATGTTGTTCAACTATCTCATGAGAAGTACAGTCATGGTCGCAAAACATTTCAAAGAGTCTATGGACGTCGATTCGAAACAAGATGTACGTTTTCGCCAATTTCATCTCGTTTGAATTATTATTATTATGGAGTGCGACAATATCCCCTAGATTCCTTAAAGAAGTCTGATATCCCCTGGGAAGCCTTCATAGCAAATCATCGTTATCGAACGTCTGCGTGTGAGTCTCAGATTGACTAAACGGCTTTCTAGAGAAGTGTAGAACTTACCAAGGGCATCAGAAAAATGCACATAAACCGTTAATTTTTGTACACGTCTAACTTGACAATAAAACTTTTTCACTTTTACCGCTTCTTTCTGTCTTCGAGAAACAAAGCGACCCTCAAGGGAAGCCTTGAGGTCATTGTGCAAAGTCCACTCATATATAGCTATATATATCTACCACAAGGATATCACAATTATAGTTACAGACTTCATAGAAATAGTGAAAGCATAATACAGTATCTAAATTCAAATGTTGGAAGTCAATTCTTCAGCCTATACGGTTAAGGTGATGTGGCCACGAAAAAGCACTATACATTTCCGAAATTCAGATATTTGACAAAAGAAAACTGATTGATCCAACCACTAACTGATTCTTTTGTGATAGGCCTCAAAGTAACAGGGAGTTTTAAGTAATGTTAATCGATGAAATATAAAGTCAGAACGGTTAGTAGACTGAGAGGTAGTTTCCGCATATACAAAATGTACAATAATAATTTATAGTTTCTGCAAGTATCATCCATTACAACCAGTCCACCTTACGACCAATTTCCTTTTGACACATTTTGTGCTGACAAGTTTATGTACCTTGAAAAAGAAGTGTTCGGGTTGGGGTACTGAAATCTGGAGAATGATAAGGAATGTGCAGTCTCTGCTATGAGGTTAATAACTGACGATAATTTTACATTATAATGCCTCCGTAAGTCTGAAAAAATTACACACTTCCATTCCGTATCCGGTTGTATGTCTGACCGGAGTGCAAAATTAAGTGCTAATAACTTCATTATATTGGGATCTGGATGATAAATGTGAATTTTTTGAGAGTCTCCCTTCCATGAGACTCTTTTACCACCATCGTATTTCCAAGTAACTTAAAATAGTCCAAAATTATGAGTGGCTTGTGGTAGAAGTGTTGTAAAGCCCTTAAATAAGAGGCGTAGGTGGCTAATTTGTTTTGTGGAGATTTCCCATATTCTGAATGGTTGAATCTCGTAAAAATCCTTTAAAAAGTTCTAAGAAGGTGCCGACTATTCTTGTAGCACAGCACAAAATACTCATAGTACTTCTGGTCAAACTTTCATAGCCAGAGTGACAATGTTCACCTTTATAAGTTGATAACTATTAGGGATGACACAACATCAGCCCTACTGATAATATGTGAGAACTGTTAGTTTTATTTCAAAATTTTATCTGAAGAAAGTGGAACGCCATATTAACAGCTAGTTCTCTATGTATAGTTGATCCTTCTATTCTATCTTAGACTGTTAACATAGATATGGAGTCAAATAATACTGTAGATAACAATCGTACATTATTATATGGGGCTTTGTAACAGTTGGTTAACTAGTTCACTAGTTACTGGCCGGTCCTAATCCTCGAAAACAGGGAAGGTTGGGCATATGACTAGGAACCCTACCCCGAAAAACCAATCCAACCACTAAAGAAACTTCAAAGTACAAAAAAAATATAAAAAATTAAAATAAACTTATTCCTCACTGGAAGCGGGGAGACGAAATGACGCCGATTGGTGAGAGTCTTCAGGAAGACGATTGGCCGATATGTCTTCTCTTCTCTCGATGAAAGCGGAAGTAAACGTGGGGACATGGAATGTCCACACAATGTTTGGAGCTGGCTAGCCAGGCTGCCCAGATTGCCAAAGAGATGAGAAGGTATCACATTGAAGTGTTAGGAATTTGCGAAAGCAGATGGAATGGGAGTGGA